TACGTATTATTAACAATTCGTATCATACCTTAATACTGGTGAATATCACATAATAAACACTATGGCAACGATAATACATATTATTACTAACTAATAAGTAACCTACTGCGATAACTGTTTCTCCGAATACAAAATTGGGTAATAGTCATAATTTTTGTTAACTTACTGTATCCACAGACCAGCAAAGAAGATAGACAGAACACTACGTACATCTAAATTTGAGCTGAACAAAGCTTAATTTATTGGCACATCCTCACGCACAAATCTTTCTTCTCTCTTTCTTTTACAACCCATAAAATTTTTCTGATGAAATTTATATACTTAAACCATTGTGTTGGTTAAACATAATCAAAAATGTAAATGTGTGAAAGTGTGTTCTTATAAGAAGTTGAGCTTGGTTTCAGCATTGCTTGAAATGTACTTAGTTCTCTTTCTATTATTTTGATGGTATTAAAGAGAGGGAGAAATTAAGTATAATTTAAATAACAAGTTTAATTTAGACAATTTATAAGAAGTATTTAGTTAGGTACACCTCAAAACTTGAAAACGAGATTGCAAAACCAGTGAGTGTTGCCAGTGATGACTTATGGATCTGAGACGTGGTCCTTCACTGTTGGCCGTGTGAGAAAGCTCAAGATCGCTTAGCGAGCTATAGAGAGAGGGTTAAGCTTGGAGTTTCTCTGCGTGATAAACATAGAAATAAGGATATCCATAGTAGAACTAGAGTGACCAGAGAACAGACAACCAGTGGGGAAATAGGCTTTCAAGTATGGCAGCCTCGTATCGGTAGACGATAAGGCAACCACCCCATCCCTCCCCACGAGATGGAGTGACGACTTGGTAAAACTTGCAAAAAGTCGATGAATGTAAGTGGCTCAGAACTGTGCTTTGTCGCATTCCTTGGGGGAGGCCTATGTTCAGCAGTGGACTTGTGAAGGGTTTTAATAATGATGATGATGATGATTTAAATTGACTTGAATATCTACATTATAAATGGCAGTATAGTACATCAAAAGTAGTATTTTGCATAAAAATGTATTACATTATTTATATTATTATTATTTAATCCATTTTATTCCAACATAATAATTTATTTAGGCATTGGAGTCTCTTTATAGGGACTCTAGTGCTTGTGTTAGGATCAAGGGGGTCTACTCGCACTGGTTTGACATCCATAAAGGTGTCAGACAGGGCTGTGTGGCTTCCCCGTGGCTGTTCAACCTATTTATGGACAGTTGTTTGCAAAATTTGAAAGTTGAAGAATGCGGATTAAGAATGGGTGAGTTAACCGTCAAATGCCTTTTGTACGCCGATGATCAAGTTATCCTTGCGTCGTCGGCGGCCGAGTTGCAAATGATGGTTACATTAATGAACAGATCATTAAAAGAAAGGGGTATGAAAGTGAACGCAAGTAAGACGAAGTTTATGGTTTTTGAAAGAGAAGAAAGTAAACCGATTTGTGAAATAAGAATAGAAGGGGAGTTCTTATCTACAAGTAGATGAGTTTGTATATTTGGGCTACGTATTTAGCAGGGATGGGAGATATGATAAGGATATTGAACGACGAGTGAATGCGGGAAATAGAGTAAATGGGGCCCTACACTCTATTGTGAAGAGTCAGAATGTGTCAAAAAAGGCACTAATGGCAATTCACAATGCTGTGTTGGTCCCTACTTTAACGTATGGTAGTGAAAGTTGGGTGTGGCAGAAGAAGCACGAGAGTAGAATCAACGCAGTAGAAATGCGGTCCTTAAGGAGTATGTTAGGGCTGAATCTGAACGACAGGGTAAGAAATTGTGTAATAAGAGAAGAGTGTGGTTTGCAAGATGATGTTGTGACCAGGATTAAGAAAGGAATGCTTCGGTGGTTTGGTCATGTGGAAAGAATGAATGAGGAAAGAGTGACAAAGAAAAATTATGTTGCAGAAGTGAATGGCAGAGTCGGAAAGGGACGTCCTAGGCGAAAATTTATCGACCAAATTGGCGATTTATTGAAAACGGGCCAAATTAGGAGTACCCTTAACCGACGAGCATGTATGCGTAGGTGTATGGATGTGAAGGAGGCGAGAGAGGTGTGTCAGGATCGTGCCAAATGGAAGTCTGTAGTCTCTGCCTACCCCTCTGGGTGACAGGCGTGAGTGTTTATGTATTATGTATGTATAATAATTTATTTATTCACAAGTTTTAATTTTTTTTTTTTTTTTTTTTTTTTTTTTTTTTTTTTTGGCGGGGAGGGGGGGGGGGGGAATAAATAAAAATTTAAATACACTTTTTTTATTTCATTGATTATGGTAAGATAAATTATAAAAAGGCTATATTGGGCGATGAATTTTTCGCGGTTATAGTAAGAGGTGACTATGAGCAATGCCAAAAAGATCTAATATCCACAGGCAGATAACATCGTAGGAAGGATTTTCCATAACCGCTACTCTTAGTAGACTAATTAACGACCGTAGTACCAGATCTCTTATCTTATATATACGAGTATTAGACGTAAATATCAAGGTAAAGAGTAGATACTTCAAAGGTCAAAGCGATTACCGAACCGTGTAACAAATATGATTACAACAAATTCTACTTACAATAGGCTCATAGATATCAGTGGACTTTAACTAAGTAACTGATTCGAAGTAATATTTTTTAAGGCCCCGATTATAAATAAGTTAACTATAGAAACATTTACATTACATTCTATATTGCACTTAAATATTACTCAAAGTATAAATCACTTTAAATGTCTAATTTAAGAAATCACTTTTATAAACACAAAACTACTTATTTAAAAACGTTTAAGATTATATTTTACACATTTGAAGTTTGTTTGAAGTATTCTTGGATTATTTAAGTACATTTTTAAAGCAAACTTACATTTCGAACTCAAAACAAGTTAATGTCATCAGGAAAATAAAAATACAGTTCAGTCTGACCGTAACATTGTTAAGTATCACATAAAATAAGTTCGCTTCTTAAGCCACAGCTTAACGTGTCAACAATATATAAATTGTGGTGATCGTGTTTACTATTGACAAAAATATAGTGTCAGAGAGAGAGAGAGAGAGAAGAGAGAGAGAGAGATAGTCGAGATGACTTTCCACCTCATAGTGACACCTGCAATCAACTTCAAAAGCCAGAGTGTAGTATCAACCTAAATGGACTGCTGAGCAAAAAAGAGGGCCAATGATAGCCATTAAAATTAATTAACCTCTTTTATATTTTGTTAAGACTGGCAGGTAACAATTATGATTTATAATCTTTTATAAATGTCAGTCTTTTAAAAAAATTAAAAATAGGGTAGTTGAAATGCGAATCAATACGCATTAATATAGTTCGACAATAATTACGACTATTTCTAATTTTTCTTAGCTTGTAAGTTTTTCTCGATTGAAACTAATTTTCAGAAATTCAAATGTACGACCAACAACACCTCTGCACCTTGGTAGCCATAGGTGATGACACTACCGTAGGGAATTTAAAATAAGTTCAAATTGATCGCGATGAATCCGTTAAGTTATTTTGTATCATTAACATTTTTGAGTTAATCCAAAGGATATCTCCATTGGTTTTCCAAAACTAACTTATTTTTTTTATGTTACGCTCCTAGCTACAATAAATTTCTCAGTCCGAACTAAATTACTGCCTTCTTGTTCTTTGTTTAATGTATGCTTATTAGCATATAAAGGCTATGCTATTCCGTAGAGCCAAGAAAGTTCGACAAACTTTATGATCGCAATAATTTAATTTGTAAGTGTATCACCCACTTTTTTAATATTATAATTATAATTCTATAATACAATTTAATTAATAGTTTGTGTTGAACGCGATTAAATCCGTTAAAATTAGTTTAATAGAGTGTCTGCGTAAATATGAAAAAATATTTTGTAATTTGTTTTGTATCGTTAACATTTTTGAGTTAATCCAAAGGATATTTCCATGGGTTCTCTAAGACTAAGTGAACTTTTTTAAGTTATGCTCCTAACTACATTAAGTTTATCAGTCCAAACTAAATTACTGCCTTCTGTTTGCTTCTTTAAGTTAATGTGTTTAATGTATGCTTATTAGCATAGAATGGCTATGCTGTTGCGTAGAGTAAAGAAAGTTCGACAAATTTTATGACCGCAGTAATTTAGTTTGTAAGTCTATCACCCACTTAATTTATTTAATATTATATCATTCTATAATATACTGTAATTAATATTGCCCATTTAATAGCACCTTAAAGTACATATTCCTAAGACCTAAACCGATCGATATTACAACATATCGACTCATCCTTATTAACCTTACAAGTATCTACTTAAACTATTTTTACTAAAAATACTACCACATGTTACGATACCATGTGCTAATATCAATGATCACAATGCATTTACGACTTTTTTCTCCTCAAATACCCAACATATGACAGTCGCTATAATGTTGGGTCTTATTGTTAGATGTAATATAACATGACCTGTCCCTTTGTTTCTATGACGTACAACCATCTGAATCAAGGCAAGCACCGCTTCGAATGGCAGATGTACAAAATTTTTGTACATAAAATCCTATCCACATTACTTTGAAAGTGCAATATTTTTCTTTCCTACCCTCATATTTTGTAAAAATATTTATGTACATCACATTGAATTCATGGCTTAATTTTACATACATATTTTATATTGACGTTATTATTCATTAAAGAAATTAACAAATTATTTTTGTAATATTATATACAATTTGAACATGACTGAAAATTTAACAGTCCTAAAAATAATTGACATAACAATAAGAGTTTTCTTAAATGTGCATTTAATGAATTGGACTGTAATATTCCCTTTTTTATAATTATAGGTCATTTGTGTAATAAAGACAATTAGGACCTGACACATGATATGCAAATGTTACATACACATATTTACACAAATGACATCAATTAATTATTTAATACTATTGGTCTAAGCATTACGCCTTGGGGCACTCCCATCTTCCTCAGAGTAAGTGTATGACAATATTACTAACTTGTCATCACAATCTTGTTCTAATTGCTGAAGAGGACCTGTCGATATCATTTTCGAATATTTTACTGCTGTTCGTTGTAAATACTGGGAGAATATCGGGTTTACAATCTTCAATAACAGTATCTTCAGTCCTATCGGAAACTTCCTTTTCTTCTGGTGTTTTCTCATTTACATTACTAGTAAATGTACGTTTACGTCCCGGTAATTTGCGATATATTTTCGCTACCATCGGATGCAATAGTTTCTCATCAAAACTGTCCTTCTCACTTCCGGTTAAAAGGCCGATTATGGTGCCAATAGTGACACACGTCAGTGTACCGATAACTGCGTACCACATATAGGATATCGAGTACATTTTCATTAAACCTGAAGACCTGAAAATGAATAAAGAAAATTAATGTTAAAATTTGTTGCCAAGCAATCATAGAAAGGCGAAAATTAAGAGTCTACCACCGTCCTAATGAGACGCAAGCCTACATCCTGATTATTGAAAAGACTTTAGAACAAGAGCCCGCCGCGCTACTCTAGTGCTGATAGAATTTTACTTTCGTTTTATTTCTTAGATATGCAAGATTTCTTACGACTGTTAATTTTATAAACCAGCAAAAAAATTAATTGGTTAAATTCTCAGTTAGTAATTTTGTCGTGAAGCAATGTATACGCTTTTATAACAAAATTCCCGAAAATGTGCAGAAATTTTCCGTCAAAAAGTAACATTTTTATTAAGCAATAACATGTTTGAGCTGATTGATCTGATGAATTAACATCTGGCACTCAGGTGATCGGCACCATGCTGTTTCTAAATTATTATTTAAAAAAAGTCAAGCTGGATATCTGGCTGGTTCTTCCCAGGATAGAGGTTTTTTACCGAACCAGTGTTAAAGGCATAAATGACATAAGATAAGAATATCTATGTAAGTATTCTTGAAATCTATATATTGAATAAGTAATCTAATTCGCCGTGTAGTGGTTATGTAAGAATATCCACTAACCCACATCATCCCGTAGGTGTCGCAGGAGGCGACAGAGGAAAATAAACTAGGAGATGGACAGAAGTATCTTCTTGATATTGACTTAAAATTATAAAAAAACTGCGGTTATCAATCCACTTGCCAAGCGTGGCAACTATGGCAAAATCTCTCTTATTAGGCAATCTATGGGGGAGGCCTGTTTAGCATTGGAATCTTGTAAGTTGCAATGGATCTTGAATAAGAACTATTACAGTTTTTTCTATTACCTCCTTATAGAAAAAAAATCTTACATGACGGCTGAAGTGTCCTCCGGACTGTATTGGGTTATGTTTACTGACTGCATCTGTATTAACGTCTGGTTTACTTCAACGGGCAGAGGTTTGTGGTTGAACACGCTGACCGTCGCGTTTGGACATCGCTAAAATAGAATAGAAACAATAAGATAGATTAAAATAAAAAGGCAAAGAACAAATCTACCGTGTTACGTATGGTTCGTGACGACTGGGGTGACAATAAATCTGCATTTTGATCCTTCATTGGGGAAGTATTTACTTTCCAACAGGTGGACCGTGAGCTCTTTTAGATATAAATATAAATAGAAGTGACATTTAAGGTCCATATCGTAGATTAGTTTTTGAAAAAAAAATTGAAAACTTGATGTTGATGCCAAGCAACGCGACTCTACTCAGTTTCATTAGGTACATTTAACATCCCCCGGGGAGCAGGATGGCTCGGAAATGGTACCGAGACGTCGTGACAGCACTGCGAGAGTGCTGGAAGTGGTAAAGACTGCCCCCAGGATGTGGTTTAATAAAGTAAAGCGAGAGAGGACCCCGTTTACGATTCCGAACGATGATCCCAGGACCCCTCATGTACGCCGATGGTGATCACCATGGGGTTTAAGGTTTTCCGCTGCCACCGTAGCGAAAAAAATCCATGAGGATTTCGCCACGATAAAAAATTTATAATTTAGGTTACTTTTGCTATGTTAAGACAATGCGATTTCCCTTCTAGGACTTCATCACCACTGACCACCAGGTGGGATTGTGGCCGCTTGACCACTCGCTTATAATAAGTTTAAAAACACATAATATGTGCAGTTAACCACGGTACAAATGAAACCTTCAGGAGTTCTTCGTAGCCTTCTGACTCTTCGTGGGGAGGCACCGCACAGAAATGAGACCAAGATAATGGGAAACACTGTATACCATAGAGTACTATAATACACAATAGAATGGCTGTCAACATTATTTTGTACGAGCATAGGCGTCGCCGGGAGCACACATACAATCAATTACGTCGTATTATCAGTTAATCACTACTACAAATCTGATTCGCTGTGTTGACAGACAGATTTTAATACATATTTATTTGTAAATAGCGTGCCATTTGGCGATTTCTAAATAATTTGCATGCGAAATTTGGAAACGATTGTAACGTCAAAACATATCTTGTGTTTACATTTATACGTGTGAATTCACGTGTTAGTGGCATTTTAGTGGCTACACGGGCTCCGCCCACTCCCCCGTTCTATTATGTATGTATTATAGTATTCTATGCTGTATACTGTATTCTATCTCTTTCTCTCGCAGGCTAAATCTTATAGACGTATATGTTTGTCTCTTTATAGTGACGCTTTTTCGTTTATCGAGTTTCAAATCACGATTCTAAAGAAGTTTCCACTTCAAAAAAGAAACTTAGGTTTTCGTTCACTGAGCCATGATCGACGCCCCTCCTCGATCATTCTATTAGGTGTCACTTAGCTATCCTGTTAACTAAGAAATGATTGGCGCCCCGCCTGGACTGGGATCATTCATTAGCCTCAGGTTACGAAACGAAAATAACCTTAACGGACAGTGGCAGCAGGGATTAGGTCATTTACTGAAGTCACAGTTTACAAAATGAACAAGTAACTGGATGGATTTAAAAGTAAGCTACTAATTTTTTTATCTGACAATGCATTTTATGTTGTTATTCATGATTTTTTTTTTCAATTTCAATATTCGATTTCAATGTGACATCCATTATTTATTAAAATATGACTAAATTTTTATAAATTTTAATTTTAATCTTATTATTCCATTTAATTATATTTATTTTACCTTCGTACTGAAACTTATTTTTTCTGTGGAAATTAAATAATATTTTATATTGTACACCAAATACCGTGTACACTAAAATACCTTACAACCTGTCGATCACAATAAAAGTGATTTGGTTTAACCCTTCAATCCCCATAAATTTCCCATGCAGTCGCATGCGCCTGGCAAACCCCGAGCAGTCGCATGCGACCGCACCCACCCACAGCACTTAAAACCATTAAAACTTATTTTTAAAGACTACTTTTCTATAAAGAAGTTTGGCATTATAAAATCTATACATAATTCTCTGTCCTGTGGTCTAAACAAAACTCAGGTTTTACTTCATTACAAAAAGATTTTATTGTATTTGGACAACAGAAGAAGTTATACGGATATAAGCGGATGTCGGCAGCGTGAAAATCACAATTATATATATATATATATATATATATATATATATATATATATATATATATATATATATATATATATATTTTACTCGAAATTATTTACATATATAGATAAATTAAATTCACACAAAAACTTTTATAACAATTTTATAATAAAACACTAATTAGTAAACACTAATTAAACACTAGAAAAATCCAAAAATCAACACAACAACATCCAAATGAAAATTGCGTACGTAATGAACGTAGAATATTAATTAATATCCATAGACTAACAGTTTTTTATTCCACTAGAGAATAGAAAATTTCATATTGATTCTATAATGCCAAACTTCTTCATAGAAAAGTAGTCTCTAAATATAAGTTTTTATGGGTTAAAGTGCTGTGGGTGGGTTCGGTCATATTTGACCGCTTGAATTTTGGCGGAATATCACAGCGGTCAAATTTGACCACATGGTGTTTGGGAGGTTAATGAACAATCACCTCTACGGACAGTGGCAGCATGGCGACGCTGTCATTGACGTACAACAGCCGGCCCGCCGCCATCCAGGTGGTGATGAAGTGCGCGGCGAGCATGCCGGCGAGCGCGCCCGTAGCGTTGGCGGGCGGCACCAGCACCGCCAGCAGGAACACGCCCAGCAGCGCGCCCGACGTCGCCGACGTCACCAGCAGCGACCCTTCCACCACTCCTCCCACCATGCCCACGCACAGCGACAGGCACATGATGAGGATCGCTGCAAGAACGTGTCTTTGAATGTCCATTTCTAAATGATTTATTTATTTACTTATTCAATTTTAATTTCAATAATATGTACATTTCATTCAAACGATGTCTTAATTTGAAACTAGTCTACAATAACATGTACTAGGATAAACGTATATCTCAGGTGTAATTTGCTAATAGATAAAGTAATAAATATTTTCTGTTTCTTATATAAAATGAATAACTTACCAACCAATTAGGATTAATTTCGTTAAAATATATTATCATAAATTAACTTAAAACAATTGACATTTGACAACTATTTCGTATCGTCGCATGTCAAATTTTGTAACCATGTACGAATAAAATTTTTACAACCTGTGACTTTTAATGGATAGATGCATAAACTTGCGTTCACTTGATTATACAGAAAAAGGCCAAGAAATATAAAAAATCTATATATGAATCTCTTCTGTAGGGAAATTTTAAGTGTTGTTTTAGTAACGTACTTTTAACGAATAACTAGCGCACTGAGAGGACATTACAGGATGGATTTATAAAAGCGGTCTAGGTGCGACCCGAAAGGTCCATACGACTAACTTCGCAGTGGGAAGAATAAAAAAATATCATATGCTTTAATATTTTATAAAATTTTTCATTCTGCACAAAAAACGACTTGACCGATTTTGCTCAAAATTTATTGAGGTCTAACTTACATAATAATGCGTTAAATGAAACTGGTCCTATGTCAATATCATTCTTTGTTCTCGAGATACACAAGGCGAAAATTGAATCCGCACATAGGTACATACATATATACGTACATGTGCACACACGTATATCCTCTTAAAAACCATACTGTTCGACTCTAAAGACCTTGAAACGTGTAGATATGTTAAAATTTCCAATTTGCTATATCGGACCCATTACAATAACTTCCCACTGGAAAGTTAATAAGAGATGCGACTGGAATAAGATAGGGCCAAAATGTTTCGAATTTTAATACAGCTCTGTGAAGTGTGAACGCGTTCAGTGTTAGCGGTGTAGTTTTAACTGCTCCTCCCCATGAGGTTATACAATAGGTAAGAATCGATTGACATAATGCAAAGTATATGCTTACTACCTAAATATCAACAAAAGGACGAATCTTTTTAAAAAGAAACATTTTACCGTCTCTATTGTACAGGTGGTCTATATAGTTTTTGAATATAAAAGTAGAGTTTATAATTGTTCGAAGATATTTCTTCGTACAATTATTTATTTTAAACACAAGCACTAGTATATATAATAGTGCTTGTGTTTAAAATAACGGGGCTTTAGGCTTGACTCTGCAAATAAAAAAATGAATATTTTGCTTTTTTTAATTACGGCCTTTAAAAAATACGCTACTAAACATAGTCTCGTAAGAGGTAAACTTGCCACAGTCGCCACAAACAATATGCACATAATGCTCACGCAAGAAATATTAAAGAAACTCACCGTAAACAATACCAATGATCTTGATGACAGTCAGTTGTTGCTTATCACTGATGCCTTTGAACACAGGCACGGTTGATACAAAGTCCTCAAATGTTACAGTAGCCAGTGAGTTCACGTTGGATACCAGGAAACTGAAAACAGAAGAATCAGTTTTGGTGGTTTTGTTAATGCATCCAAGTAGAACGTGAACCCCTGTCTCAGTAGTGGCAATGGGCTAGCCATATAGTTCCATAAAATAGCCTTCGGAGAAAGAGCTTACTTATTTCTTTTTTATATAGAATAAGCGTGACAAACGATCACATAGTTCATCTAATGATACGTGGATGCTGTGGTTCATAGACATCTACATTTATCTTGGATTAAGAATCAAAACGCAGATGCGTTGTCACCCCTGAGGACTAAGATGCAATGCCTCGTTTCCAGTTAAAAAGGGGCTCCACACTCACCATACAAAACACAGCAGTATTAAGCTGCTATTTTACGCTGGTATTCTGTGAGAGCGTGGTCCTGCCCCGGTCGAGCCGGCCCATTCGTGCTACAACTGTACTACTAATATACCTGCAGCATGGCTCTACCACGTAGATACGGTACAAATTGTATTTTTTTTTAATTTTGAGTTTTTATCATAAAATTACAGCAGCTCAACTTCTGTTCCATTTCTCTCCGTCACCCCTTACGCAACAACCCCGGGACAATATGGGCTAGTGGATGTTCGTACACCGCCAGTAATCTACATGGTTGTATTTTACTTATATGTGGTAGAGCCACGCCGCATTTACATATTTGGTTGTAGCACGAATGAGTCAGTTCGACCGGGATCTAGCCACGCTCTCACAGAATACCAGTGTAAAATAGCAGATTAAGGCTGCTGTGTCTCGTATGGTGAGTGTAGAGATCAGGAGACCTATTTTACTGGAATTGAAACATTCCATCTTAGTCCTCAGGAGTGACAACGTATTTGAATTTTGATCCTTAATTATTTTTCTTTTTTTTTAATGCTAAATAAATAAAAATATTTTTCCGCTACAACGAGAAGATCGGTTCCGTCCCCTGCGTGAATTAGAACCAGGGGTCTTAGTTGCGTGGCGAGGGCGCGGCTACTCTAACCGCTGCGCCAACTAAGCTTACTTGTAAGTGGGCGAATTTAATAAACGCAAACAACTGTCGATGTATGACTTTTGAATAGTTAGCTATAATGTGGGTTGGTTAAGAACACACACGAATAGAACACTTCTAACTTTTTCCGCGTGAGGGTGATATTGGATAAACCGGGTTTGCATTGAACACTTTTTTAATGTTTTTTTATAGTCAATCACTTAATAATTTGAGAATATTATATTGTACACAGTAAACTACATGGTGTTAAGGCACTTTTTTCCAATAATTTTTTTGGTAAACGTCACTTTTAACAGTAGTAGGATTTTTCGAACACAGAGGTACACTATTTAAGTCCTCTCGCTCGCTAGCGCTATTTTTAAACGAGGATAAATGTAGATGTCTATGGGCCACAACATCCACTTACCATCATTTGTACTATGTGTTCGTTTGTCAAATTTATTCTATAACAAAAAATTAACAGTTTATGAAAATAAAAAGAAACTCACCTCAAAGCGCCATTAAACAGACTGCCCAAGAACAACCCAAGCATTCCAGGCAGGAACGTGAACTGATCCTGCACGTAGTACGGCAAAACTTCATCCGGAGCGGCAATACTTCCAGCTAGCAGGGGGTCGCAGTACTTGTAAAGCGCGTACAATGCCATCCCCACAACCCAAGATAAACTAAACAGGACGAAAACTGCAGGAACGTTGGCTATGAGGGTCCTTCTCACCCTGCCCTCACTGGACATCGAGCAGTATCTTTGGACGAACGTTTGCTGACAACCGTAAATGGAAATCGACATAAACAGTTGGCCGATTAGAGCTGATGCTGTATCTACACGGACGGTTGGGTCCCCCGTGAACCTGGAAAGGATATTTTATATTAACTTAAAAATAACCTTAAAGCTTTCTATTCACCTAATGGTAACCACCTGGTGGTTACCACATTATTCTGGAATAATAATATAAATATACTCCAAATCGATTCAGTTTCAGTCATAACGGACAGTCTTAACAGAGACTAGCACAGGACAGGAGTATGTGTACTCAAGCACAAGTGGACTCCCTATCTCATAGTCCAATAGGGATGTAATTTGACACGACCAGAGAGAGATCAGACGCAGTACCAAAGGCATAACGTGCTTTCCGAGGCACATCGAGTAGATCACTGAAATTCGCAGTACTTCGGAACCGAAAGCGCAGTTTTTCGGAACTTTGATAGCGTGATTTAGGCTTCGGTGCATTTTGTTCGTGGCGCGACGACATGTGTGATACTCACTTAAAGAATTCCAATCTGCCGCCTTCGATGTTGTCGCTGATAACTTTCCCAGGACCACCAGCTTTTAATGTCGCTTGAACTATGAAGGCACCACTCACTATCACCATTGTCAGAGTTTGGATGACGTCGGCTCTGAAAATAGGAGAATATGATATTAATAAGTGGCAGTGTCACGCTGCAGCTATATTATGGTTGTAGCACGAATGGGTCGGTTCGATTGGGATAGGACCACACTCTTACAGAATACCAGCGTGCAATAGCAGCTTAATGTTGCCGTGTTCCGTATAGTGAGTGTGAAGACACTTTGTACTGCTCCATGTTAGTCCTCAGAGGTGATAACGCATCTACATTTTGATTCTTAATTGAGGATAATTATAGACAGCATCCACTTACCAACAGGTAGACTGAGTACCTGCTTATCACCCTTATTCTATAATCATCAAAGTCAGTTCAGAACTAACAAAGATATCCCGTAACATATACAAAAATAGACAGTCGAACTGTAAACCAGTATTTTTATCTCAGCTAAAAATAGCCGCTGAGACAGGCAAAGCAATACTTGTTTTAATCAATCAACTTCCAATAGGTACTTCACATAATTGAGAATGCAATCATTTGATCGATGGATCATTAACATTCGTTACATAAATCGATTTAAACAATGCAGTTAATCTGTTCTCAATAGACTAACATATTGGAACGTATACGGAGAAGCCTTTTTATAGGATTGGAAGCAAACGAGGATGCGGCTCTCCTGATGGTAAGTGACTATCGAAGTCCACAAACAACTATAATCATGGGTAATTGCGGGTGATTCGCTGGCTTTTTGAAAAAAAGTAGTCTTTTTTGGAGATTCCTTAATAGGTCATAGGTTATCGGTCAGAAAAAATCGCTGGTGGGAGCCGATTCCACAAAGATTATTCGAGAAAAAAACTTTTGGTTAATCGCACAGCCGAGCACCAAGCATTTTTACGTGGTAAAGCCACGCTGCAGCTATATTACGGTTGTAGCCCGAATGGGTCGGCTCGACCAAGAAAAGACCACGCTCTCATAGAATACCAGCGTAAAATAGCAGCTTAATACCGTTGTGATTCGTATGCTCAGTGTGGAGATTCGGAGACCCTTTTTTTACTGGATTTGAAGCATTCCATCGTAATCGTCAGGGGTGACAACGCATCTGTTTTTTTGATTCTTAATCGAGGATAAATGTAGATGTCTATGGGCCACAGCATCCTTTTACCATCAAATGGACTGTGTGCTCGTTTGTCACCTTTATTCTATAAAAAAACATATATGTGACTAATGATTAAATTAGGTGTAAGAGAATACACAAGATATCACGGGAACCAATATGGGTTCAAACCCCATTAGGAACAGTGTTTATGGCCTACAAATTTATAATTGTTCAAGAACTGAATTTTCGTTCACGTGCAATTTATGTATATAGAACGCCTTCACAATACGGTGGAAAAACCTCATGCGGGGATTAAGCCATTATTAAGTAAAAAAACTAACGTTATCCCCGGCACAAGAAAACATACAGACATAACGTACTCCTATTCAAAATTATCTGCCCTTTTTGCTTCAGCTTACCATACAAAAGACGTTTTTATTTCTATAGAAACAAAAACATTATACCTATTTAAAATCCATATCATATCTCGTTACCTGATTGCAGCAGCCAATCCTCCCAGCAAGTTGAATACAATCGCCACGACAGTGAGAGCAGCCGCTGACGCCCAGTGAGGTAACGCCAGGACAGCGTGAAGTGCTACCGTTGGCGTGTACACCGTCACCGCCAAGTTCAGCGTCTGACGCAGAAGAAAAGTTGCGGCGGCCATTTGCCTGACCCGGTTTGAGCCGAAGCGCATCTGTAAGAGACATATTTATTTATTCATAAGACACCAGCGTGCGTACATATTACATTTTTATTGAAAGTGGGCTTAATATAGGGATTAATGTGTGTATATTTGTGTGACACAGTATTACAAAATACTGCAAAGTTAAAAAAGAAATATTATGTAAGAATAAAATAATTTCAAATAAATATTTGAGAAAATGGAAACATGCATATAACTAAGTAGCACCTATTAAGGGTCACACAGATATTAGATTAGACATTCATAATAGTAGATCTACAAATTTTTTCCCGATATTTAGGGAAAATATTATGAAAAATATCCACAGTACCATAAGCAGGAGTTATACCGGGCCTAGGCTGACCCATCGACGTCTCGGGATGCAAATACCACCGCTGTTAAAAATAAAGTATAATTCCGCCTCCAGGTCCTTCAAAAGTACCATTGGGAAGTCATAGTCAGAGCACATCGGCAGAATTGGCGAGAAATTAATTCGACTTCCTTCGGGAACACGTGCATGCTGATCTCTCGCCAAAGCTGTCCAAGGGAACTTCCGTCAGCCATCTCTCCCATCTCTGCACATGGCCCATGCCGCAAAGTACAAAGCCGATCTACTAGTCTCTCTCTTTGCATCCAACTCGACTCTTGATGACAGGGGCAACACACCGCCGACCAACTCGCGGTGTAAGTGCTCCATGCAGGATGTGCTGTTTACCCAGCGCTCGGTGTGCAAAGCATTCCTCTCCCTGGACGTCAACAAGTCGAGTGGACCTGATGGCCACCCTCCTATTATGCTGAAGACGTATGCTCCAGTGTTGGCACCGGTTTTAACGCGTCTTTTCCCGTACTATTACTCCCTACGCGTAGTTCTGAACTCATGAAAGACAGCTTTAGTGCACCGGATACCTAAAAAAAGGCGACCGCTCAGATCTGTCCAACTACAGGACTATCGCTATCATCTCATTTTTCTCCAAAATAATGGAAACAATTATTAATTGCCAGCTCATGAGGTACTTTGAGGATCACCAGCTGATTAGTGACCGTCAGTACGGTTCCCCTCGGGGTTGTTTAGATGGTGATCTTCTGGGTTACCTAACTCATACATGGGCAGAGACAGTAGAGGCCAAAGGAGAGGCTTTGACCATTAGATTGGACACAGCCAAGGCCTTCAATCGGGTTTGGCACAAAGCGCTTTTTACGAAGCTTCTTTCTAAAGGGCTACCCGAGAAATTGTGCAATTGGATCACTAGTTTTTTTGCAGATCGGAGCAACAAGGTCGTAGCAGACGGTGCATGCTCCAATTACAAGCCCAATGACGCTTGTGTTCCACAAGTCTGTGTGTTATCACCAACGCTGTTTCTTCTGCACATCCCTAATTTTGCAAACCGGTAACATTATTTGCTACGCGGACAACAGCACTGGTGATGCTTTATACACCGGTCTTTCTATTTTGTTGAAAACATTGTTGAGTACCAGAACAAACTTATGTCTGTAGTCGAAACTTTGTTCAAAAAAACCTCTTCGTTGTATCTTCCCAGTTTATGGCACTACCCTTGTTCCCTTAGCCAGTATCGGAATCCCTGGCGTCGACATATCGTGTGACATGCATTTTCGTGGTCACTTGGAAGATAAGGCGAAATTGTACTCTAAAAAGCTTGACGTACTCATCAGAGCGGGATAGTATTTCATGACGGCACACCGCCTGTAACATTACAAGGCGCGGGTTTGACCGCATATGGAATAGTGTTCCCATGCAAAAATAAGTGATAAATACTAGGAACAGACACAAGCAAGTAGTACCAGTTACTCGACTCTACCGAGTCAGTAATTCATTCTTGGGGCGATGTATACGCTTTTACAACAAAATCCTAGAAAATATAAAAAAATTGACATACACAAAGTTCATAAACTTTATTAAACCTAAGTATAAAAAGGGTTATTACAATATTAAGGAATTTATGGATGATAATAACCCCTGGGAAGGGCGATCGCCAACAAGCTAACTGTAAAATACATAATAATTGTAAGCTCTTTTTAAAAAAAAAAATATCCCGCTGGGTTTCTTGCTGGTTCTTCCCAGGACAGAAGTTGTTTTTGCGAACCAGTGGTAAATGAAAAAATAAGTATTATTTATAATCCATACTCAATAAAATATTTCTGTTTTTGTTTCCGTTTCATCTTAGCGCTGGGGCTCCTCATGCCAGCTCCTTCCAATTGATCGCATCCAGCGCGGAGCCGTTAGAGTCGTCGGCGACCGAGCTCATTCTGAAGCTTGCTTGAAGAGGCTCGCAAAAAGGAGCTGAGTTATTACAATTATATTAATTACGTAATTTCCTTAACACTAATTAATTACCACTATCGCCTTATCATTTACTATTTTTAGAAGCGCCTATTAAAAATTAATTAGCAAGATGTACTTATAGCCTTATTGCCATTATCTGTGTATCAAATGCATATTCCCAAAGTGATTATTAAATTAAACTATATTTAATAACTTCCGAAATTTTGTAAATGGTTACGTAGATAAAAATCGATTTTCCAATTATATAAATATGTGATATTATTGTATGACTTGTTTGATTACTCAATTTCAATTTATTTTCCGATAAAGCCAAAACATAAGATGCACAGCGTGCTGTGTAGGTAACGTCGATCGTTTTTCTTGTCTTTTTTTTAAATTTAATAAATGGTAGTAGTACTCTATTAGATAAATATATGGGGGCTTCTTTCTCCTGTATCGTATAGGCATGTGCATCTAAATTGATATGGCGAAGATCTTATTATTTCTTATGGCGACTTGATGTTTAGAATTACGTACAATTTTTTAATCAATGTCCCTAATAAGTAATAATAATAATGTCCTCCAGATCGAATTTTGGCCACGGCGGCCAGCCTCAACGGAAACTAGCCATCAGCGCAGGACAGGATTATAGTGCCCAAGTGTATGCGCAGGCACAGGTGCACTCTCTATTTCCTCACTCTCATAATCCGATGGGACGGTAAACAGACACGACCGGAGAGAGATCAGGCGCAGGACCAACGGTTTTACGTGCTTTCCGAGGCACGGGGGTGAGACACCGCCAACTTCCTGACTCCGGGCAGCTATTGAGAATTTCTTGACGGAAAAACTCAATAATTGATTTTTGGCCCGACCCGGAATTCGAACCCAGTACCTCATGATCAGCAGTCGCACTAATACAACCACTAGACCAACGAGGCAGATAATAAGTAATAACCCAAATATTAACTAATGTTTCATAGAGTAAATTGTCAATTTTGTTGTCAACTTGTCAACTTCATGCAGTGGACGTACATTATGGATGTCATGCACTATCCGGTTTAGCGTCAAGTTTGCAGCGCGTTTGAAGCGGGGTCCGATAAACTTAAGGGTGTATGGCTATCAGTGTGCATGACAAGTCTACTTGGAGCAAAAATTGAATTTCGATTCTGTCGACTTGATCAAGCTTGCAGCGTCATGTAAACTTGAACGAGTGTGTGAGCGGTCAAGTATGCATGACGTTAGGCGGAGCAATAAGCGAGAGACGCTCTGGTTTCAACTGGTGCGGCATCACATAATGGAAACTTGACGGCGATCTTGAACGTGATTGATCTATATGGATGCAGTGCAAACTGGACGCCGCGCCGCTTCAAGCGCGCTGCAAACTTGACCATAAACTGGATTGTTTATAGTAGGTATCCATTATATTGACGTAAAGGTGACGATGTATCGTGTCACCTTTTTTTTTCATCTTTACGTCAAATACAATGATTTTGAATAATTGCATGTATACAAAATCCGATTAATGGACGTCGTATCCTATTGAACTACAAGAGTGTTGGGGTAGAGAATGCACTTAGGATTTAACCCCGTCCTGCGCAAACCAAAGAGCCTATAATCACTACGTTTCAGCGCAGATAGCTATTCGCAGTTGAGGCTGGCCACCTTGACCGAAATTTTGTCTAGAGGGCTTTTTTATAGGAGAAGGGTGACAAACGAGTACACAGTCCTCCTCATGGTAAGTGTTAGCAGTGACCCACGGACATTTACACCTATCCTCGATTACGAATCAAAATGCAAAATGCGTTGTCACCGGTGAGGACTAAGATAGAATCCGGTTCTCTACACTCACCATACGAAACACAACAGCGTTAAGCTGCTATTTTACGCTGGTATTCTGTAAGAGCGTGGTCCTTCCCCGGTCGAGCCGACCCATTTGTGCTACATCTATACTACTAATATAGCTGCAGTATGGCTTTAATACATTGCATTGGTCAACCACAATGTATTTACACCACCTGTATTTATGTATGTAATGATTAACCCCAATGTTGGGCACTTAACGCCGTAACTTTTTTAATACCTGTAAATACTCGTAAACAGAGTTAGTTTGCAGACGGTAGTAGACTGGGATGAACAGCCAGCAAACGAGCGGAAAGGCGAGCATAATCCCGTAAAGCGTCTCCCACATTGCCGATCCATGGTATACCAGCTCAGATGGAAACCCTGAAAAAAATTTAAATAGCTTATAGAATATAGACTTAATAATATACAAAGTTCGCAAGTTATGCTTATTGCAGGTTGCTTACACTTTTACCATTGGTTCTGAATAAAGCCACTGTACTGGGAAGATCCAGCAAGAAATCCAGTGAGTTTTTTATTTACCGGGTTTTGTACGGAATAAAAGTGATTTTTATTCCACCGAATATTTAATGGAAACTGGGGCCGATAGATATCTACATAAAGATAGACTGTATCTTTGATCTAGAATCAAAATGTAGCTATGCGTTGTCAACCCTGCGAACTAAGATAAAATGCCTCAAGGTAAAATGATTCCATTCATTTTTTTGCATACATAGAACGCGAAGCGTAAGCATAGGCGCGAAGCGTTATTATATATAAAGGATCTCCCAAAAATAACGTCACATAAAATGGTTCTCTTTGCGGATGACAGTACAGCTATAATAAAGTGTACAAACAAAGTTAATTATGAAAGTGATATAAATACCTGTTTGCACGAAATTATAGAGTAGCTTAATAATAATAATTTAGTAATAAATTCATCCACTTCCATCAACGCCGTGAAAACCCAAATAATAATATGTCCTACCAAGGCTTTAATATTGAGGAAGCAATTATGGCTAAATTCTTGGGTATAATGGTTGATAACCAATTCACTTGGAATCTATGCAAACGACTCAGCCAATCCGCATATTAGGCGATTTCTCAACATTCAAAAAAGGTTAACAGCCAGCCTCTTTTGATAGCATACCATGGACTAGTTGCTTTTGTTTTTCGATATGGCATTATTTTTTGGGGACAGTCTTCTCATAGGGAGCTCGTATTTAGAATGCAAAAACGATTTGTAAGGTCAATGTGTGGTCTGAAAATAACAGATAGCTGTTTTCGTTATTTTAAATCTTTAAGAATCTTAATACTGCCATCACTGTATATCCTGGAATCAGCAACTTTTGTAAAAAAGTTTCCATTTCTTTTTCAAAAATTATCTACAGTTAGAAAGAATCCAATACGCACCCAATACGTTAATAATTTATGTTACATAAAATGTGAAACATCACTAATGAAAAAAGCTTTTTTGGTATTGCCCCACGAATTTATAATAAACTACCTACCTGATACAATAAAAATAGGAAGTTATTTAAATTTAAGAAGTGCTTAGTGAAAAAGACAAATGTTATTATAAAATTGACGAGTTCTTTAATGATAATTTTTAAAAATTATATTAACTTTAAATTTTATTGACTAATTATATTATTTTGTTATTGTCATCTGTTTAATTTTATAAATGTAGAATCTTAATTAGGTAGTATTACAAGTTCAATAATTTTTATTCTATTTTATTTTTATGGCATGATTCTCATAAGAAAACACACTTATATTTGTGTCTTTAAGACAAAACATAGCGTACTAATAATTGTAACCATCGCAAGACCTTAAATGTTTAAACCTACCTATGTTTGACAAATATACTATTCCGATTCTGATTCTGAAGCGGAGAAGTAGTGCTCTATTGTCATCAAATCAAAAAATCGCGATCCATTCAACTTAACCTTCCACCAGCTTTATTTTGCACTATAAAAAAGTACACCAATAGCAAGGCGAGATTTCAATTCATACTTCTGACGTAGTTATATGATTATTTATATCGTTTTTTAAAGTCAATTGAAAATAATTTCTTGGGCGTCAGTTGGTCGGTATGGATGCTAACAAGATATTTTTCGAAAAAAAAACTTATCACTTTGATTTTTTATTATCTTTAGACTTTAACCCTTTGGAAGCCTTATGAATTTCACGTTTGTAAAGCGTCGCGTACATTAATATATTTTTTATTTTATTAATTATTTTTATTTGTCAATTTTTTTCGGTGACAAAATAAGATTCACCGGTATCAAGCAATCAAAAGAAACGTGTTAGTAAAACAGAAACAACTTTTTGTAGCTTTAAACAAAATAAGTGTTTCGGTAATTAACAAAAGTAAATTGATTATTCAAAACATTATATGAGCGTTCGAGGTGTGAATTTTCGGATTTTCCAATTTTTTTTATGTCACGATAAAAAAAATTCTTTTGAATAATTGTTTTTTGAACAAAAGTTAACTCCCGCTAAACTACGAACCTAAGACTAATAAATCGGTCGCCGGGCATACGGTCCACTAAACAATCGGGAAACTGGGTTTATTCACATTATTTTAACACCGAGTGAATCGCTTACTCATGAAACGTAAGTAATATAATGTTTATCATGCGTTTTTGCGGTCTAACCCGATAGCGATTGAAATCTGAGGCGCGTGTCCACGGAATATAAAAAAACGTGTCTGTGCTAAAAGATGAGGTCGACATACACAAGTACAAACTTGTTTAACAGGACAGGCTAATGTCGGTATTCAGAGATATCTCTAACTTTACTCGACATTGTGAAGTCAAAAGTGTTACATGATATGTTCTAGACTCAAACTCTTCTTTTTACCTTTTCGGCTATTAAGTTATTTTTAAATACTGTAGTGACCACAGAAATCTAAATAATAAGATAAATATTTCTGTGGTAGTGACTAACGAAGTGGGGGGTATCTACTCAGACCGATCTCTAGGCAGGAAAGAATACCTAATAATTATTATTCAGTCAGTCATGAAAGTGTCAATATTATTAGAATAGAATATTTTTTATTCAATATGGATTACAAGTAATTCCTATTGAAAGTATTTTTTTTTTTACTTTTACTACTGGTTCGGATAAAAACCTCGGTCTTGGGAAGAACCAGCAAGAAACCCAGATAGACTGTTTTTTCAACGTAAACTTTACATTATTATAGGTTGTATAAATTACGTAATGATACATCATATCTTGCTTTTAATAAAGGTTTTCCCTAGAATAAGGAAAAGATTTTTCCTGTATCGAGTCTATATATATATATATATATATTTTTAAATTGCACATTTATCCACGGCATTTATCACGGCACACACACTTCTGTGCGGGTTTCGAAAGCCGTGCAGAGCGCCTCAACCAAACGCTTAGCCACTAAGCTAGAAAGCCTTCTTTAAGACAATTTATGTCTACATAAACCCCTCCCCTTAGGATTTTCTCCTGTATCATGGAAGCTATTTAAATACATATATTGCAAAAGGACAAACTACCAAACCCACAACAATTGTTTGTAAACCGCACAAGTATTTTTTCCGTGCGGGATTCTAACCTACAGTCATCAGCGTCGCAGCTCAATGTTAAGCCACGTCACGGAGCTGTCAAAATTTAAGTTTGGGTCAGACATTGGCTGCGTTTGGCAGAAAAAAACGCTAGGAAGCGCTTGTAAGCAAAATGGCGAAACTATACAGTTTTCGGCCAGGACACGTTAGCTAACTTCAGCAGCGCTGACACAATCCGCCATTTTGCTTATTTATTTTGTTTGTTTTGAAGTAGAGTTTATAAGTTGTTTTGTGCAATATTAGTTTTAAGTAATATAATGACATGAATAAACATATTATACATGTTATTGAAAATTCATGATTGATAAGTTTTTAATATGAATACTTTACAAAAATATATTTAAATTAGGTTAGGTTCCCCGGTTAAGGCTAACTTAGTGTCCTAGAGGAAAATAGCTATTTACCATTTGACAGCGCTTGCCGCTTACGATCGCCATTTTGCTTACAAGCGCTTCCTAGCACTCTTTTCTGCCAAACGCAGCCAATGTGACAGTTTGGCTTTAAGCTCAGGGTAGACAACCTTACAGACTTAATAGACAACCCCTATGCCCAAATACTGAACAAATGCTACTCAATTTTAAGATGCCGTTAAGTCTCGTTCTGTCTCTATCATGATTATGACACCATGAGTCTGAACGCCATGTTTAAATTCTATTACGCGGTTTACATACATAAATTTCACAAGAACAACCATCCAGACCCGGAACAATTACTTGTAGGCCATACAAATACTTGTTCCGTGCGGGATTCGAACCCGCGGCCCTTAGCGCTGTAACTCATTGCTAAGCCACTGCGCCACGTAGCCATCAATTATCTGTGATCAGATTTTAAAAATGATGTAAATGGAGTTTTTGCGAGAACTTGACCGTTGACGGATTGTTGCTACTGATTTATTGTTTAAATAATAGTTCGATAAATAAAAGTGATGCGATTTTTTAAATTGTCTGCACAGGTAAAACGTTGAAACAAGTGCTAAGGTGTTGATTTCTTTTTAATATAGGATAGGGTGACAAACGAGCACACAGTCCAGCTGATGGTAAATGGTTGCTACGGCCCATAGACATCTACATCTATCCTCGATTACGAATCAAAATGCAGATGCGTTGTCACCCGTGAGGACTAAGATGGAATGCCTTCGTTTCCCAGTAAAAAGGGCCTCCGGTTCTCAACACTCACCATACGAAACACAGCAGCATTAAGCTACTATTTTACGCTGGTATTCTGTGAGAGTGTGGTCCTTCCCCGGTCGAGTCGACCCATTCATGCTACAACTATACTACTAATATAACTGCAGCATGGCTCTACCACGTATAATTGATATAAACCTCAAGTTTTTTCTCAATTTTTATGAATTTCACTCAAGTCATCGACTGTCCGCTGGGTTGAACCGTCGTCAAAATCTCCCAATAACTTTGCAATGTGGTGCATAAGCATATTGTGAAGAAAAAATATACAAAATCGAAGATCACGAATGAAATAAAGACAAGGTTTGAAGGACAAGCATCCAAGCCATAATTTTTAATTATTTATAATAATTCAATTAATTAAATTCGTTTCATATGTTGAATAGAAAAGAATAACGTCTATTAAATAAACGTTATAAAGTACTCGTTTAAAGTCGTTTATACTATTGTCACTGACTGATTCGGAGAACACCTGTCAAACATGAAACCCAGCGGTACTTCTTTTAATCATCAACCTCATTTATAGTATTTGTTTTATAATGAAAACAATAATTAGTTAACGA